CGAACACAACACAACACAACACAACTCCAACACATTTCAACACAACACAACTCAACACAAACACAACACAACACAACACAAACACACACACACTCACACAGAGAGAGGCATGTGACTGACGTTGAGGTGGATGAACTGGAGGATGCGCTTGTGGGTGAGGATGGAGATTGCGTTGCCCGTGTACGAGTCAATCACGGGCAGGCGGTGGATGCGATACTCAAGCAGCATCGTCAGCGCCTCAAGCACGCTGGGGAGGTGGGGGTGAGGTGAGGGGTGGTGTGTTAAGGGTGAGATTGGGGATGATAACATGGTGGTGTGGTGGAGTGATGGCACGCTTGGAATATGAGACGCAGGTCCACATGCGACCACATGCGCACGGCAACGCATATAACTACACACCTGAGTGAAGGGTCCATGCACGCGAGTGTGTGCGGTCGCTTATCACTCGACATGTCTGATACAGGCAGGGAAGAACGCAGCCAATGTGGATCAAGTATTAACGAATGAGAAGCGCACAGTCGTGCATTGCACACACCCTTATGCAACAAACACACACACATACAACACATACAACACGCCACAACACATTCAACACGCCACAACCCCAACACACCACAACACATTCAACACGCCACAACCCCAACACACCACAACACATTACAACATACCCCCTCCACACCCAACCCCCCCCCCCAAACAAAACATCAGGTTGGAGCACGGACCGCGCCACGTCTGGATCCTGTGCTCCTCAAGCTCCTCCATCTTGCTGTCGGGGGAGACGTAGTACTTGAGCAGGATGTTGATGAAGTCGGTCACCGTCAACATGCCCACAAACTGCTGCTTGCGCGAGTCCCACAGCGGCGCTGAGCGGATCTGATTCTGCACCAGCGCAAAGAACGCCTTCTTCACCTGTGCACAGCAAGAGGAAGAAAGGGGGGGTATGGGGTTGCGCGGGGTTGTGTGCGAATGTGCATGTGTGAGTGCACAAATGTGCATGTGTGTGCATGTGTGTGCATGTGTAAGTGCGCGCATTTGTGTGTGTGTGTGAGGCAACAGCAGAAAACGAACAGCACAACACGGCTGGGCAGGTTAACAAACAACACGCAACAGCAGCAGAGGCAAGCAGCACCAAGCAGCACCAGCACATGTGTCAGCTGCAACGCACGTGCAGTTGTGTATCGAGGACGACCATCTTCACGCTCACGGGCATCATATCGTAGCACGTGAACCGGCTCAGAAACCGCCTGGCGCAATTGCCGTGTTGATGGCGGTGGTGGTGGTGGTGGTGGTGATGGTGGTGAAGTGAGGTGAGGAGGGAAAGCAGAGCAAGGCTTGATCAAAGGTACGGACACACACACACACACACCGACACGCACACAAGACATGAGCCATGTTGCGTATCGTGGCAGTGCTGGCAGACCTGATGGCGTCCTGCTCTTCTTCAACGGTGGTGCCCGCCGCTGAACTGCGGGGAGGATACACGCACACGCATGCACACGCATGCACACGCATGCACACGCGGCGTGAGGATGACAGGCTTGTGCACTGGAGCCCACACGCAAACACATGCAAACACACACGCACACATACAAACACACACAAACACACACACACACACAAATATACACGTACAAACACACACAAATATACACGCACACGTACAAACACACAAATACACACAAACACACGCACAAATACACACGCACACAAACAAGCACAGCACATACGACTACAGAAGCACACAAAACCACACACAGGTACAGCGCTTTACTGCACTGTCTCTTACAGGGACTCGCTGGAGATGTTCTGTGATCGTGTTTGCGACGGCGTCGGTGACGTCGCCAAGGATGATCTCTGCATTGAGTACAATCCCGTGGACGCACACACATGAACAAACATGGGGCAGGGCGTGGCATCAGCGTACGTTGATTTGCTTCTGTGGCGGATGAAACACACACACACACACTCTCTCTCTCTCCCACTCTCTCACGCAAACACGCAAACACGCAAACACGCAAACACGCAAACACACACGCACACACGCAAGCACACGCAAGCACACACACACACACACACACACACACACACACACACACACACACACACACACACGTGCAGCTGCTGTGGTGCGCATGACATACGTCGCTGCCGTTGGCGGGAAGGGTGGCAGACGGCGCCCCCAGGGACGAGCTCGCCGTTGCAGCCACATCGCGTGGCTGCGGCCGCGATTTCGACGGCGTGTACGAGTGCTTGGTCATGGTGAGCTGTTCCTCCTTCTGGCGGGGCCGGCCGGAGAACAGCGGGCCATCCTGGAGCGGTTCACTGTCCACCAGCCGCGTCTCACTGCTCGTGCTGTCTGTTCGGGATCGCTGCGGCGTTCCGTCTGCATCCGAGGAGCCTCGCAGGAAGTGCCCATCGTTCAGCATCTGCCGCAGCGTAAGCACGGAGGGAGATGGTGGTGGCACGCGCGGTGGTTGTGGTGGTGACGACAGACGCGTTGACAGGGGCAATAACAACGACGGTGGCGGTGGCGTGAATGAAGACGATGTCCGCGTTGATGAAGATGACGTTGTCGACGTGGTTGCAGAGGATTTGGAGGACGAGGATGAGGCAGAGAACCGGGAGGCAGGGCCAGTCGTGGTGGGGGTGGCGGTTTTCGTCATCGTCGACACCGTTGTCGCAGTCGAAGAGGGTCGAGCGGACGGTTTCGCAGAAGATGACGGTGGGCGCGTGGCACCATGATCGCAGGAGAACCACATGATTGATTGTCAGCTCAAGCAAGTGGGATCAGCAAACACAAGCAGCAAATGGCTTGCACACACACACACACACACACACACACATCAAGACAGAGCCTCTGCCAAGGAAGGCAAGAGCACAATGCGCACAACAAACGAGTATTCTTCACCGTGTGCCTTCACATCGCATCAGACTGACTGACCTGCACCGCATTTGTTGTTGGTACTTGATATTGCCGCGGTGGCTGCGGCTGCTGCGGCTGCTGCTGCTGCTGTTGTTGCTGCTGCTGATGATGTGACATGGCGAGCGAGCTGGGCAGCTCCACCAACACAAACGCAGACACAAAGACAGGAGACAGAAGACAAAGACAAGGAAAGACAAAGCACAATCGAACAGGCCCCCTCTGTTCCTCTGGTCTTGTTCTTGTGTTCAAGCTGTTGTGTGTCAACTCGGTGGAGCGAGTGAGGAGAGGAGAGGTCAGGAGCTGAAGATCTGCCGTGGCGTGGGGTGTGTGTTGTCGTTCTTGCTGGCTGCAGTTGCAAATTGCTGCCCTGATGGACGGTGTAGATGATTTGTGAACATCTTCCACACCTTCACGTTCATCTTCTGCAATTGGCAAATAGCCTGGCAACAAGCAAGCAGCCAACAGCAAAGACGAAGAACACAGCAGCACAACAGCACACACCATCAACTATCGCTCACCCGACCAGCACCACCCACCTGCCTGCGTGCCCTGAGCACGCCTTGACCTCCAGCGCGCTCGCTCTCTCGCTCTCTCTCTCTCTCTCAACAGCCCGGGCTTCTTTGTGACAGCACCCTTTTCTCTTTCCTTGTTTGTTGCGTTGGTTCTTTACACAACACAACACAACACAACACAACACAACACAACACAACACAACACACACACACACACATTCACATTCATACACCCCACAAGCACACACATAACCCCACCCCCAGAAGCACACACATAACCCCACCCCCAGACGCAACATGAGTCAACAACAGCAGCGCATCAACTCCGTGGTCGGCGAGCGGATCGCGGCCGTGGTCGACGACATGCTGACGCGCTGTGCGCTGTTGCCGCACCTGTGCTCGGCCTGCGTTGTTCGCGACGACGCAAACGAGAGCGACGCAGAAAACGCACGCCCAGCGTCCAACACATCCGAGTTTGCGTGGGACGGCGCATCGCAGCTGAGCGAGGACACGCTGCAGATGCTGCAGGCACACAGACGAACAGAGAAGACATACGCCGCCGACACAGACAACCGCGAGCTCAGCATTGCCGTGGAGGAGTCCACCCGCAAGCTCATGCACCACCTCAGCAAGCGGCCGCACGAGGCGCAGGCGCTGCGGCAGCGGCCGGTGCACCTGCCGGAATCGTTCAAGACACTCACGCAGCGGCTGCAGCAGCTCCGCGATGTGCTCTACCTCAAACTCACAACCAACGTCGAGGATGAGCGCAGCCAGCAGGAGAAGGTCAACAAGCTTCGCGCCAACGAGAAGAAGAACATTGCGACCCTCAAGTCGCTGGAGACGAAATTGCGGCAGGCGCAGCGCGAGCATCACCAGGAGACCGAGCGGAGAGACGCCATCATCGCAGACCTCGAGGTGTGTGTGTGTGTGTGTGTGTGTGTATGCGTGTAAATGTGTGTGTGTGTGCGTTTGTGTGTGTTTGCGTGTGTGTGTGTGCGTTTGTGTATGTTTGCGTGCGTGTGTGTGTGTGTGTGTGTGTGTGTGTGTGTGTGTGTGTGTGTGTGCGAGAATGTGTGCGTGTGCGTGTAAACCATTTCTGTTGTGCTGCTGTGCCAATTCCTGATACCGTCTGGCAATATGTGCGACGCGCGTATAGGATGATTTGGACTTTATCGCTCACAGCGCCGCAGAACACAGCAGGCAAACCCTGCGCGAGGCCAGGCGCAAGTACGTTGCTGTTGTGCCGTGTGTGTGTCTGTCTGTCTGTGTCTCTGTGTCTGTGTGTGTCTGTGTCTGTGTGTGCCCTTGTTGCCACATTGTCTTGCGCACTCTCATGTTTGCGCCACGTCATTCTCATTCACGCACACGCACACATCCACCTGCACACATGTTCACACTTGCTTGGTCCAGGCAAGACCATCACGAGCACACGATGAACACGGACGGCAAACAGCTCAACGAGCAGCTGGACAAGCTGGAAAAGGTGACGACGATGACGACGATGATAGTGATGATGACGATGATGGTGATGGTGATGATGCTGGTGGTGAGAAGGAGTGAAGATATTGTTCATATGTGTGTGTTTTCGCAAGTCATTCCCTCCCTCCTCCCACTTGCCTTCAACACTCACCCCACTCGCCACATGCCTGCTCCCAAACGCTTCTAAACACACACACACACACACGCACACGCACGCTCGCTCGCATCAGGAGCTTGCGAGCATGAGGAAGAAGCACAAGGACGAGGAAACAAAGCTGCGCAAGCGAAAGCTGAAGCTGCAGGCGCAGATAGAGGGGTGGATCATGAAGTACGACCAGGACATGGGCGAGAAGCAACGCGAACTCGACGGTATTCAGCAGCAATATGGCGCAGAGTCGAAGCAGCTGCAGGAGCTGGAGGAACGGTTCAACGTGCTTGAGATTGAGTACAATCGCATTATGGAGGAGAGGCGAGCGGAGCGCGAGTACAAGCAGCAGGCGGAGGAAGAGATGCAGAAGATGATACGCGCTGCCCTGCTCATCCAGTCCTGTTGGAAGGCATACAAGTCCCGCAAGGTACGGTGACTTCTTGGCGGGGGGGGGGCTGGGGGATTGTTGTGTGTTTTGTGTTATGTGTGTTGTGTATGCATGCACTTGTTTGTGTGTGGGTGTGGGTGTGGGTGTGGGTGGGTGCGTTTGTGGGTGGGTTTGCGTGTGTGGGTGCGTGGGTGCGTGGGTGCGTGGGTGCGTGGGTGCGTGGGTGTGTACGCAGGCCTGTGTGGTCTTCTGAGTGCGTCTCTGTGTGCGTTCCGCCATTGTACTCACTCTCCATCATGTGTGCGCCCATCCCACGTGTGGTCACCAGGCCGCACGAAAGGCGGCTGCCAAGAAGAACAAGAAGAAGGGAAAGAAGAAGAAGTAAGGAACGTCCACATGCAACGAAGACAACTTGTTTTCGCTGTTGTCGCTGTACTTTTTCTCTGCTCTTCGTCCTGTTACAAAGCATCGCAGAGAGAGCGGGAGGGAGAGGGAGGGAGAGACGAGGGAAGGAGGATAAGGAGGGGAGTGCTGTTGTGGCTCGTGTCGGTGCGTGTGCAGAGGTGTCTTGTCTTGTTGGATATGAATGCCGGTGCGCGTTTGTCCCATGCCAGTGCCACAGCGCCACACAGCGCAAACGCCTCTTGCCTTGCTTGCCTTGCTGAATTTTGTAGCATATCTTTCATAAACTCTCCAGGTGCGTTGTTGCCAAGACGATTGTCATTTCCACACACACACTCCATCAAACCAACAACACCACAACACCACACCCGAAGCAACCCCAGGTCTGTGGATGTGTGTGCATGTGCATGTGTGTGCGTTTGCTAATGCCCTCCTGGTTGTGTGCCTCCTCTTCCTCCCCTCACTCCTCTCGTTTCCTCTCGTATGCTTGTGTACTGTATTATTCATACGTCATTGTCTCCTGTGCCGCTCGCTGCAGACAGCAATCACAGCACACCATGTCAAGTGTCAAGAAAACAGCGCCGCTGCTGCCTGGTTTCACCTTCCAGGATCCCACGGTTGGTGGCAACAATGAGCAGCGTGTGTCACCTGCTCCTTGTCAACTCGCACCAGTGCTGCAAACATCACAAACATGGAACACCAACACGCGCGCGTGTCCTCTCGCATACAAGCTTGCACGCTCCCATGCACTCACACACTCACACACACACATGCACTCACACTCACACTCACACACACGCACACACACGCACACGCGCACACGCAAATGCACACGCAAACGCACACGCCCCGTTCAGCAAACGCGGTTCCCACGATCCCAAACGCTGTCCAAGACAGCAGGCCGTGGTGATGATGCAGAAGAGGTGAGCGAGGACGACCTGCGCCGGCTGCAGGAGCAAACAAAGCGCCTTGCCTTCCAGACCACCACACGCAGAGAAACAGAGAAGGCCGCATTGCCCATTCGAACCCCAGCACACATCCCAGCCTACGTCGCTCTTGACAAGAAGGTGCAACACACTCCCCCTCCTGCAGTGTTGCATCAAACATGGCATCATCATGTCATGTCGCTGTTGCCTTCAACCGTGATGTCGTGTATTTCATGTTGTCCATCCATTTCGTCAGACACACACACACACGCACATGCACGCACACGAAACAATGCATCGTCGCGTGTGAGCCCATCGAGCCTCACTCTGCTTGCACCTCCATGTCGCTGCTCAGGTCCTGACATTTGATGGCTACTTCAAGGAAACGGTCACAGAGTCTGCGGAGGAGCACTTCCGCGTGCGCCGCGTCAAGGTCGGTGGTCTTGATGCCACTGGGCTCTGCATCTGATGCTGATGAGTTGAACACCTCCAGCTGTGAAGCTGCTCTTCCTCACCCTTCCGTGTCGTCCACCTCCCATCACGTCCACATGCACCTGAGACGGTCGTCATGCGCTGCTGCTCAGTCTCACATTTACACACATGAACACACGTTCATTCACATTTACACACATGCACACACACGCACACACGCACATACACGTACGTATACATTCACACACGTTCACTTTCTATTGCCTCTGCCTTGCTGACGCCTTTCTTCCCCTTCCTCAACCCCTCCAATCTCGACCATCCGCGCGCGCCATTGCACCGCGTACTCAGATCTACTACCATCTTGAGGATGACACCATGTCTGTGCTCGAGCCCCCCGTCCCCAACAGCGGTCTCCCCCAGGGCAAGCTCATTCGTCGCCAGCGCCTGCCCAAGGACGCGCGCGGCAACACGTGGTCGTGGAAGGACCTGAACGTCGGCATGAACCTCCCCATCTACGGCCGCGTCTTCCGCGTCACAGACTGCGACGCCTTCACAAAGGTGTGTGTGTGTGTGTGTCTGTGTGTGTGTGTGTGTGGTGCGCCTGTGTGTGTGTGTGTTGTGTGTCTGTGTGTCTGTGTGTGTATGTGTGTGTGTGTGTGTGTGTGCAGGTAAGCTTACCTCGAACTGTGGTTCATTTCCTTCAGCTTCTTCTAACACTCGCACTTGCCCCATGTCACTCCCTTCCCTTACCCCACCCTCTCACCTCCCGCCACCACAAACAACCACGCCCCCCCCCCCTTCGCAGGAATTCCTTCTGTCCAACGGCATTGAGCTGAATGCGACGGAGCAAGTGCCGGAGGACCCGTACACGGTGAAGCGCAAGGTTGTGGAGCAGCCGTCCACGCTGGCCACCACCAAGAGCGACTTTGACAAGCTGAAGCAGTTTATTGAGCTCGATCGAAAGGTGCTGCGCTTCTACTGCGTATGGGACGACCGCGCAAACCTCTACGGCGAACTCAGGCCCTTTGTGAGTATGACACACGCTGTGCGGCGCGCGCGCGCGCGCGTGTGTGTGTGTGTGTGTGTGTGTGTGTGTGTGTGTGTGTGTGTGCTGTGCTGTGTGCTGTGCTGTGTGCTGTGCTGTGTTTACTTTGTATGCTTTGTATGCTTTGTATGTCTGTGTGTCATGCTTCCGTGTGTCTCTCTTATCGCTCTTTGCATCACTCCCTCCATCTCATCCCACCCTTTCCATCTCATCAGCTCACATGCCCCCGCCCTCCTTTGAAACATCCCTCCGCCACTACAGACGCTGCTGTACTTTCTCGTTGACGACACGATTGAGATCCGGGAGCAGCACCAACCGAACGATGGGCGCGACAACTTCCCGCTCCTCCTCCGCCGCCAGCGCGTCCCAAAGAACCCAAAGAACATCCCACGTGAGCACAGCCCCGTTTGTTTGTTTGTCTGTCTGTATCTTTGCGTGCGCGCGCGCGCCCGTGTGTGTGTGTGTGTGTGTGTGTGTGTGTGTGTGTGTGTGTGTGTGTGTGTGTGTGTGTGTGTGTGTGTGTGTGTGTTCTTTTTGCCTTTCTCACCATTCCCTCCCCCTCGTCTCACATCAACACCACCTCACCTTGGGCACCAGGCGCGTTCCCGAAGATTGTGATGGAGCCGTCGCAGGAGGAAGAGGGCGACTACATTGGGCCCGAGGACCTCGGCATTGGCGCACGCGTCTTCATCCTCGGAAGGTGCGCTGCCCCACACCTGTCGCAGTGGTGGTGGTGTTGCCGTTCTTGCTCTTGCTCTTGCCCTTGTTCTTGTTCCTGTTCTTGTTCCTGTTCCTGTTCTTGTTCTTGTCGCTCTTGTTCTTGTTCTTGTTGCTGTTATTCTCGTCAGTTCCTTCCCACTCTCATCCTCACCCACCTCCACCCCACCCCCATCCCTTCTTTCCTTCGCTGCCCTCCTCCTCATCCTCCTAACTCCCCCCCCCCCTTTCTACTAGAGAGCTGCTGCTGTGCGACTGCGATGAGTTTACGCGCGAGTTTTACCGCCGGAACTTCAACGTGGAGGACTTCACCCCCATTGATGTTGAGGACCCGTTGACAGAGGACGCCCCTGTGGAAATTCCGCCGCACACCGGATTTGGCACTCACGAGGACTCCATGCAGAGCGTGCTGGCCCTGCAGCCAAAGCCACCAAAGGCAGACATTGGCAAGCTCCTCAAATACGACAACAAGGTGTGTGTGTGTGTGTGTGTGTGTGTTGTGTGTGGTTTGGAACAACTTACATTCTACCTTGAACACCATCTCCATTGTCCCTCACGACCGCTATCTCGACGCCTGTTCCCGCTTGCTGTCTTCATCCACATGCCTGCTCACCCATCCCATATCTCTCTCGGCCTTTACTGCCGCCGCCCCCCTCCCTTCCCTTCTTGTTCGTCTAGTCCCTTCGCTTCTCTGCGCGCATGAAGACGGAGAACCCCATTGACGCCGAGCGCCGGTTCATCGTGTCCTACCACCTCTCCTCGGACACCATCTCCATCTTCGAGCCACGCTCGCGCGAGACGCACGGCGGGAAGTTCCTGGAGGCCACGCGCGTGCGCAAGCCCGGCTGCGACAAGCACAACCCTGTGTACTATGGCGACTTTGACCTCTACCCTGGCATGGAATTGGAGGTGCGGCAGCATGTGGGCGATGGAGAGATAGTGGGCGGTTTTTGGTTGCGCTGGTCGCTTGCTGTGGTGTGTTCTTGCGTCTGCGATGTGTGTCTCCAGCTGCGGTGCATGTCTCTTCACTTGCCCCCCCCCCAATCACTTCACGCCTTCTCACAATGTTCTTCTCGCCTCACGCGCAATCCCTTGCCACCTCCCACTTGCATCTGCAGGTGTTTGGCCGCACGTTTGTGCTTGAGGACTGCGACAAGTTTGTGCTCAAGTTCATTCAAGAGAACGCGCACCAGTACCCGCAGGCCGCCCTGGACCAGCTCTCAAAGAAGTACAACATCCTCTTCGACACAAAGTACGCTCGCTGCGTCTGTGTGTATGTGTATGTGTATGTGTGTGTGTATGTATGTATGTATGTATGTATGTGTGTGTGTGCGTGTGTGTGTGTGTGTGTGTATGTGTATGTGTATGTGTGTGTGTGTGTCTGTGTGTGTTTGCTTACGTGCATTTTGCGTTCTGTCGTCGTGACACCTTCGCGTTGTTTGGTCATGCACAACCCCCCTTCTCACCACCCCCCTCTCCTCCCCCTCTCCTCCCCCCCCCCCCAAATTGCCACCACCAGTACGGATGCGGCAGATGCACTTGACTCTGCACGCAAGGCGCTGCGTGACCGCGGGTTCTCCAGCTTTGATCTCGTGCACAAGCGCCTGGCGCAACTCGACGCCAACGACCGCGGCGTCCTCCACCAGGACACCGTCTACGACACGTGCCTCGAGGTGAGCCGCCATTCCTGCTGATGCTGGTGGAGGGAAATGCTGCTGGTGCCTGTGGTTTCGCGGCTGCGTGTATCGACACGTGTGCGCCCGTTTGTTCAGCTGTCCCCTCACCACCACCACCACGCCTCTGCGGCTCTCTTCTGTCTCTTCTCAGATCGGCCTCCCCCTGGGCAATGGCCTGATGACGGCGCTGCTGGGCCAGTGCGACGTGGGCGAGGGCATGGTTGACTACCGCCGCTTTGTCGACATGCTCGCCAGAGACGACGCATAGTGGCTGCGGGCATGTGCTTGCTTGCGTGTCGTTTGCTTCCTTTGTGTCGTTGAATTGCGAGTGTCTAACTGTCTCGGTGTGTCTTAAGATGTCTCGTTGTGTTTGCGAGCGAGTGCCTCGTGCTTACATTTTGTGAATTCATCAAACCAGCAGCATTCTATTCTGTCTGTTCATTGCGCGTTGTGTTGTGGGTTGCGTTTGTTTGTTGGTTGTCTCCCTTGGTCTTTGCCTCAATCTCCTTGTCTCATTCCTTCCCCCCCCCTCCCCAAACTGTTGCATAAACCCCCAAAGCTTTGCGTTCACAACCATGCGTTTTTGGTGCTGACGGTTCCGTGTGTGTGTGTTAATGGCGAGAACGAACGGGAAAGGGCAACAACAAACAAAAACACACTCGCACGAAACAGTCACAGCAAGGCCGCCCAAGCAAGCGACCACACATGCCCTCACTCACAGCGACATCAACGACCACATCAGTGTGCCAAGCAAGCAAGCACGTTCGTACATGCGCGCATGCGCGTGTGCATTGTTACTTCTTGCTCTTGGCTGCCGTCTCTTCGTCGTAGTCTGGGTTCTTGCGGCAAATGACAAACCCTTCCAGGGTGGGCGTAAGCGGCACGTATTCCTCTGTCGCCAGCTGCGCGCGCTCTCCAAAGCCAAGCAGCACGGGCGTGTTGTTCGTCACAAAGCCAGTGATGGTCTTGGGCTTGCCTGTTGCGGTGCATGTAGCGGAGGCGGTTGTATGGTGTTGTGAGGAGCGTTGTGAGGGGGTGTACTTGTTGGAGAGATGAGGGCAAGGGTTGCATGCAAGCAGGGAATAATGAACGAAGGCATGTGCGTTCAACACACAAGCTACGACGGGGCAGCATCACGCACCCTGCAAAACAGCCACCCCATCGAGTCGCTCACACTCAAGAACCTTCTCACTCTCCACCACGACTCAGAAGTGCAGCCGCACCTGCTTGGCCGACGACGTCGACGGCCTGGCCGACGCGGACGGTGAGGGAAAGTGGGTTGAGGTCCTCGTCAAAGAGCGACAGGATGCGCGGATGCATCGCAAGCGCCAAGTGGTACAGCATAAAGTGGCTGTCACCCAACAGCACTGCACAAGCATACATGGATGGTTAAGGGAAAGCACAGGGAAGCAGAGGGGGGGGAGGAAGTGTGAGATGCATTGCTGCGGCCGAAGCAAAGGCACAGTCAAGAAGCCTATCACTAACACACACACGCACACACACGCACACACACCTTCTTTGACGTCGACGAGGCTGAGGAGCATGGTGAGGAGGCCTGCGGCGGCGGCGGGAGACAGCAGAGAGCGCTCCGTGTGGAACGGCGACAGCGTGATGCTGCCCTTGCCCGTGTACAGCAGACCCTGCAGGTACATGAAAATGCATGGCGCGGTGTGTGAGGGGCGGCTGGCTTACACCATACACACACACAGCACACACAACACATAACACACCACACACAGCACACGCACGCACAACACATAACACAACACACACACAACACATAACACAACACACACACAACACATAACACAACACACACACACACACACAATGCACAACGCACAACGCCCTACCTGTGCGATGCGGATGACAAACATGGCATCGTTGCTGCGGCTGTAGTACTGCGCAAGGTGGCGCAGCATGCCGGCAATCCTGGCGTGGTTGGTGCCGGCCCCCATGATGCCAAGTGCAAAGATGGAGTTGTACGCCACCTGCTTGTCCGGGTCGTGCGTCAGCTTGCTCAGAATGTCAAGCACGTTCAACGCAGGGTTGGACGTGCACAGCAGCGCCATGGCAATCGGCACAGCCCTGTCATTGTGCACACAGGTGGTGTGAGCACGCGGTAATCATTGACGTGGAGACGTGGAAGCAAAGGGCGGCAGGGCACAGTCACAGCAAATGTATACGCCGAAGAAACAAAGACGAACGCATTCGTGGCAAACGAAGCGTGGGCACGAGCGCACCTCCTGATGACGGGCTCGCCATATTGGAGGAGGTGGTTCATGCTGCGCAGCGCCATCTCAACGCCAATGTCCTCCCCCATGGCAACAATCGCAATGCCAATCGTCGCAAACGCCTGCAGCGCACGAGAAGGGAGGTTGAGGTTGAGGTTGAGGTTGGCAAGGAAGGGCATTGTGATGGTGGTGGAAGGGCAGCAAGGTAAGAGGGCAAGGACACGCATTCTATCACAGTTCACGCGTGAGCCAATACCAAGGGCATGCCACACATACATGCACATTCACCTCAACACGTAAACACGCACGTAAACGCAGAACAACACAACATACACAACATACACAACATACACAACACCACCGCACCTGTGAGAGGTTGTTGCCCTCCTCGCCTTCCTTCTCCTCAATGTGTTCCGAGCACATGTGCAGGAGCTTCTGGATCTTGAGCACGTTGCCTGTGCCGGCATAGGCGATGCTCTCCACAATCGTCTGGAACACCGTCTTGTACGGCTCCGGCACAATGCTCAGCACGTCAGACGCAAGCTGCGCGGAAGCCAAAACGTGCGTGCGTGAGGGGCGAATGCATTGAACAGCAACATGCGGTGCAATGCCCGCGTATCATCCACGCACGCACACACACACACACACACCATTCAAGCACACCACAAACTTCACGCACACACCACAAACTTCACGCAAACACACACACACACACACCAAGCTGCATACGTACCGATGAGCTGGCCTGCTTGCCCATGAAGATGAGGCCGACAGCGACAACAATCATGCGGGCGTGCATGGTGTTGAGCTGCTCCGGCTTGAGCACCAGCAGGCACTGCACAATGGCCTCTGCAATCTCCATGTTGCCCGTGCCGACGTGGATCTGGCCAAGCGCAATGGCGGCGGTGGCGTGCAGCTCAAGCTTGGCGTCTGAGTCGTCAAGCACGGGCCGCAGCAGCTCCGTGACAATCTCGTTGGCGGTGCCGGCGTAGGCCAGCCCGAGACCCATCACAGACGACACGCGGAACAGGTGCACCTTGCTTGTCACATAGTCTGCGAGCGAACAACACAGATGCGAGCGGTTAATGTGAGCAGCGTCAAGAGAGTTGAAGCACAATGCGTTGGAAGACACACCAACAATGCATCGTTGCATAACATACGAGATCGCGGGAGGCTGCTTCACAACTTTCGCACCTAGACACACACACACACACACACACACAACACATGCCTTGGAGGAGGGCGAGCGCGGGCTCGTGCTCGTTGCGAACGGTGGAGTTGACAATGCCAATGGCGAGCAGGGCGCCAGCCTTGACCTCCTCCTTGTCAGACATCATGTACGCGTCAATCTGGGTCAGGCCACCGTCCACGTCCCACAGCAGCAACATGCCCAGCGACGCAGCAGCAGACATGCGCCCGCGCTCCTTGTGGTGGTAGATCCACGTGTTGCCCTGCTCAACCAGAATCAACTTGTCGCTGCCAAAACCTGCACGGGTAGCATGAGGTGGATGAGAGAGGGGAGGGAGGGAGGAACGTGTGGATGAATGAATGACTGCATGGTGAAGTTGAATACGCGCCACAGGTGGTCAAGGGGGTTGCAATGGCGTGGTTGCCCACACCACACACACACGAACACACACACGCGCGCGCACACACACACACGCGCGCGCGCACACACACAACGAGCAGGCGTACCGGTGTTCACAAAGGCGTTGGTGAAGCTCTTGGCCAGGTTGAGGCGCGGCACGGCAAACCCTGGGAGGGACAAACAACACAATGTCATGTAGTGGCGGATGGGTGGGTTGGTTGGTGTGAGGGACAGAACTGAATAAGGGAGTGGGTCGACAAATTACAACAAAGGCAGTGTCGTCTCATCAACAGGAACGAGCCCACGAAGAGGTGAAGTGTGGCATGAAGCAATGTACGTGTGGCAATCTTGTCGTCGGCCTTGTACACATCATCGGGGGACTTTGGCTCCAGAATGTCGAGTTCGCGCGCCAGTGCAAGGTAACTGCTGCTCAGGTGCGTCTGGCGTAATGACAACAGCATGGCAAGCAACGCATCGTGCGCGTGGCGTATGAGAGTAAGAAAGACACCACATTCGTGGATCATGCTTGTACTTGTGTGTGTGTGTGTGTGTCTGTCTGTGTGTGTGTCTGTCTGTGTGTGTGTCTGTGTGTGCGTGTGTGTTTGTGTGCGTGTGTGTCTGTCTGTGTGTGCGTGTGTGCGTGTGTCTGTGTGCGCGCGTACGTTTGCCATGAGGTCGCGGAGTTGCTCGAGCTCGTCATCGTCCTCCTCAATGCCGTCAAGCTCCTCCTCAACGTCAAAGAAAAACTGCTGCCGTCCAAGCAGGAACGCAAGCTGCCGCCGCGTGCTCCTGAAGCAGCAACAGTGATGTGATGGTTGCGATGGTCGTGGTGGTGGTGGCATGGTGAGGACACAGCGCAACCACACACGCGCGCGTTCTCTCACACAAGCTCACACGTTCATGCGCGCTCGCTCCCTCGTGTGCACAGTAAGCCAAACGAAGAAATCATGGCGCATGCGCACCTGTCTGGGCATGTTTTGAAGATGTCCTTGATAATGTCCATGTCGTTCAGCTTGAGGGCGACCTGCATCGCCTGCGGCCACTTGGAAAACTTGCGGAAGATGCCGAGACATGTCTTCATCAGGATCTCGTCGTACGGCTCTGCAGGACAAGAGAGAAAGAGGGGGGGGGGGTGAAATGGGCGCGGCGGCGAGGAGAGGGGCGGGGGTTGAGTCGTGAGGGGGGAAAGAGTGGAAAGGGGAAAAGCAAGTGTCGTACAAACAGTGGCACAAACACATGAAGTGGGCGTGCACATGACACGCCACGCGTTGGTGTATGTAACGTTGCAAGGCCACCCAAATGCAGAGGCCCAACGCGCAGGGCACTGCAATAAGAGCGAACGCCGGAGGCGCAACGGACCTGGGACGTATGGGACGCAGCTCATGAGGTAGAGGCAGACGCGGTCGTAGCAGTTCTCGTCCACGTGCGGCTCCAGCATATCAAGGCGCTCAATCTGGTGCGAAAACAACACACGCAAGAGAAGGAGAAAGAGAGAAAGAGAGAGAGAGAGAGAAGGAGAGAGAGAGAGAGGTGTGGTGAGGGAAGGGTGAAATCGGGCACAGGTGAGGAGCGGTATTGACACACGGTCGCACACACACACACACACACATACACACACACAAACAGCGCACCTCCATGAGGAGGTCGCAAGCGTCTGGCTCGGCGTTGTTCTTGACGCAGTATGGGACAATTTCACCGGCAAGCTTGGTGAGGTCGTCGAGCTGGGGCTCGCTGCCAGCCTCCTCTGCAGCCGCCACGCGCGCGCTGTGCTCAAGCGCAATCTCACCAATCAGGTGCCTACAGCCACCACGTGTGGAAAACAGAGGGGGGGGGTGATGAGCCGAGGAGAAGATGTGGTGGGGGTGAGGTTTGATGCAACACCACAGTACACAACACACACACACACACACATCACACGCGGAATGAGCACGCAGGACAAATTCAGGGTGGCCACGCACCTGACGTATTCGTGGCCCCAGAGGGAGATGGGCTCATCTGTGCCCTTGAGGCGGAAGTTGAGGCAGTCGCGCTCGCCGCTGTCCACCGTCGTCGCAATCAGCGAGATGACGTCGGCAGCAATCGCCTGCGTGGCCGAGAGACGAACAGACAGTGGCAACACGGAGACGACAGCATGGTTTTGCGCGGGGCATGCACACAAGAGATGAGCAGGGACGGGCGGTTGACGCTATAGATGGATTACACCACACGGTTTCTGTGCATGCATATGCAACGTTTCTCTCCACACGACGCCGCCCACACGTCATACAACGCGCACACGACACTCGCATGTGTACACGCTTGCAGACCTTGTGTTCTGGGGAGCTGAGCTTCTCGCGGATGTCCTTGATGCGCTGATAGTGTGGGCGAAGGAATTTGAGGGGCTTGGGCACAGAGGTCATAGATGACGTGGCTGTCTTGATCTCGGAACGCAGGTCCTTCAGGCACTGCTCGTACAGGCTCTGATCGTCCTCCTGTCAGCGACCACCCACACACGTGCACAGATGTGTGTGTGTGTGAGTGAGTGAGAGAGACAGGCACAGAGACGGAGAGACAGACAGACAGAGACGGAGAGAGAGACAGACAGAGGCGGAGAGAGAGAGACAGACAGACAGAGACGGAGAGAGAGACAGACAGAGGCGGAGAGAGAGAGACAGACAGAGACGGAGAGAGAGAGACGGAGAGAGACAGACAGACAGACAGACAGAGAGACAGAGACAGAGAGGGCAGGGACAATAATTCCCACAGACGCAAGCAAGAAGGGGATGATTGGAAAGGCAATAAATGACTGCAGCGTACGTCGAGTCGGTCAAGGTAACCCTCAAGCTTCATCTTCAGCTCGCGGTCAGCTTCGGACTGCAACACGGCAGCAAATAGTGAAACGGTGTTTGGATGAGTGTGTCGCTTCGCATGACATGCAAAACAATGGGGGGGGGCGCAACATGCACAGTGCAAAACAAAAAGCATCAACACAAGTCTACACAGTACACACACGCGTACACACGCGCATACATACACAAGTCTACACACATGCGCGTACACATGCATGCACACGCACTCACAAACACGCGCTCACGCACACGCACACGCACACGCACACGCACACGCACACGCACACGCACAGTTCGTACCAGGTCTTCCTCGTTGATTTCCACGTCTTCTTCCTTTTCGTTCTTCTTGGCGTCTTTGTCCTTGTTCTTGTCGACGTCCTTGGAGACGTCCATCTTCTTTGTGGCCTCTTCACCGGCAGGTGGCATGGCTGGCTGTTTTGTGTCGAGTTGGGGACGGGGCTTCTGAAAACTGGATGCAGCAATCAATAACCGCTGACAACAGCAGCTCGTGTGTGGGACTCACTGAAGCGTGCGCACAAACACAGAGGGTGGTGTGTGGCCCTTTGGATCACCGTTGCTCTCAAGTCACACACAGCCGCTTGCTTTGCTTGTTTTGCTTGCTTGCTGTCTGTCGTGATGGAGACTGCTCTGCTTCTTTTTGGGGTGATGGACGGATGGATGGCTGTCGTCGTCTCCTCTCTGTTCTGTCTGTCAGTTGCTGTCGGTTGTGTTTGTGTCGTCGTTTTCTTTCTTCTCTTCTTGCCTCTTGCTTCGGGCGGTTCAAGAAATCCGAGCAAAAACATTCACAAAAGGGCGTACTTGTGCGTTGCAAATTGCAAGTGCAAGGTGCAACTGTCTGACAGGGAAGATGAAAGTCGTTTATGATTTCAGCAAGAACTCGGCGCTCACTGCCGCTTCTTGCTGGCAGCTGCAGTTGGCTGCTTGCTGTTTCTGTTGTTGGTGGTGGTGGTGTTTGTCTTCTTGCTGGTGTTGGGGTTGCAGAGGGCCAAAGAGATGAGCTGCAGCACGAGCATGGTGGCAAACAGAGACACCATTACCATAAACTCGTCCTGTCCACGCATGGCCTGACGTACAGCTCGTGTTCCCACACACAGCCATCTGCAAGCGAAGGGGGGGGGGCGTTGGTTGGTTGAGGAGTGAGAGAGGGGAGGTGATCGTGGGGCTCGTTGTGGTGTACACTGTCACGCAAACAAACGAATGCACGCGTCAACCCAACACACACATACACACACGCACACACACGCACACACACGCACACATACGCAAACACACGAGAACACGAGTGGAACTCACGATTCTGTGCAGGCGTCAGCATCAACGGATGGAAGGGAGCTGCGTCCGTTGTGGAAGTGCTTGCGAATGGCGGCAATGGCATTTGCCTGCGACTCCAGCGACACCTCAATCATGTACAGTCCAGGCCGCATCTCGCGCTTCCACCACTGGCCACGCAGCGGTGCCGTTTCGCCAACGGCCTCTGTCGCGTTGGTGTAGTGGTATGTCCAGTGGCGCATGCGGATGTACTTTGGTGGCCGCACGTGCATGTCATCCGGCTGCTCCTTCTCAAGCAGATCCAACACCGCTGGCTCGCCCTCAAGCAGCCTATATCGTGTGTGTGTGTGTGTGTGTGTGTGTGTGTGTGTGTGTGTGTGTGTGTGTGTGTGTGTGTGTGTGTGTGTGTGTAAGCGCGTGGGTTTGGAAAAAGCAGTGGGGAAAAAAGAGGAGGAAGTGCGCGAGAACTGGGCGGAAACTGTGCAAACCGCACATCAGAGACGCACAAGCACCTGATGGCAAGGTGCTGCAGCCACGGGTTGTGTTCGATGCTGCCGAGTGCGGCAAACCACATCTGCCAATCAAGCCGGGGCTGGTGTGGGGCTGTGCCATGCACACATCGCGAGGGGAAGTGATGGGTGGTGGGTGCGTGCATGAACAAAACAGAAGGCACACACACACACACACACACACACACACACACACACACACACACACACACACACACACACACACACACACACACACGCCCGCTTCCGCATCTCAAGCAAGCACACTGCCAGGGCTGTAGAGCAAGGTACCGATAAAAGGCGGTCTGCCGGTGACCTTGCCAGGCTTGGACTTGAAGGCGTAATCGTGCCACGTGCGCGCGTCCCTGCTGCCCTCCACGGAGACCTCTGGGCGGCCGCCAACACCACTCATGCCGCGGAACAGCCCGTACGAAGTGACAACTTGCAGCGGATCGAGCAGCTGGTGGCTGCAACACAGTCGTGGAAAAAGTGTGTGTGTGTGTGTGTGTCGGTGTGTGTGTGTGTGTCGGTGTGTGAGTGTGTCTTGCAATGGTGTCAGCGGTGGTGGTGGGAACACACAAACGACATCACGGAACAGCTGACCAGTTGCGTTGCCGCATGCACGCATGCAACAGACAGCATTTTTCTCCGCCATCCCCTTGGTAAAGACTGCACACACACACACACACGCACACACACACACACACAACACTGCACACACACACACACCCATGCCCGCCACTGCACGTGACGTTCGCACCTTTGCTGGACGACCTCATATCCGGGGGCAGTGTGGAGGCGAAAGGCGCGATCGTTCCAGCGAAGCGTCTCGATGGACGCCGCAAACAGGAGGGCGGCAACGCCCACCCGCGGCAGCACAGATGCAAGGTGCCCAAGGTTACACCTGGTGTGTGCATGCAGGCAGGGGCGAAAATACAGCGGTGGAGGAGAGCAGTTGGCGGTGAATGGGGTGGCGATGAGGAGACTGGACAGGGGGGGATAGAAATGCATGAAGTGAGAGGGTGAGAGGGTGAGAGGGTGCGAGCACGGATATCACCACAACAAAGATCAAAACGCTGCAAGCAACAAGATGTAAGGACATCACGCACTTCCTCAGAGCCTTGAAAACAGCAACCATGCATGGCACAGCCACGCCAATCGCTCCTGAAAACAGGTGAGGGGCGTTGTGTGCGTTTGTGGTGAGAGAAGATGTGCATCTATGTGTCTGTGTGTGCTGGTCGCGCCCTTTCTGTCTACGCCTGCCCCACTACTACAGCTTGCACAATGAGACCAAAACCAGCACACACGCCCGCGCGCGGCTCACCGAGGACAATGCCAGCCTCCAGGGCGCGGGTAAGCCAGTGCGAGAACTGCTGCTTGGTAAAAGCCACGGTTGCGGTGATGGGCACATGCATATCTGCTTGCACATGCACGTCAAAAGCGTGTGCCGTGAATGTGCCAACAGCGAGGGCGGCGATGAGCAGGAACAGCGCCTCAGCCCACCACGGCAGCCGCTTAATCAGGCGCAGGCCCTGCTTGCGCGCGGACACGTGCATGTCGACAAAGCGTGATGAGACGACGGCCTTCAGCTCTGCGGTGGAGTGTTCGGGGACAACAACGTCAGGAGAGGCGGCATTGGGGATGGGGGGAAGCGGAAGGATGTATGAGGACAAGGATGAGAACGTAGCATCAAACCAGGCTGTGTTATTCACCAGCTTCAAGCGCACGCACACATGCACACACACACACAAAGAAACACACACGCACGCACGCACGCACGCACACAAACAGAGATGACAGCCCGCAGCACCGTTGTCGTAGAGGACAGGGATGGCGAGCAGGGCAGTGAGGATGTTGAAGAAGTTGTAATTTCCTGTGACGAAGATGAGGGCCATCAGCACAACTTGCGCCACCGCGCACACGACGCGCACGCTGGAAAACGGGAGAAAGAATCCAAATGGAAGCACCGCCTCAATCACATATACCTGCACCACACTGAACGCCTGCGCCCACGTGGTTTGTGTGTGTATGTGTGTGTGTGTGTGTGTGTGTGTGTGTGTGTCCTCACAAACAAGGCGGATAAACGTGTTGTAGCAAGAAGCATAAAGCAGGGCGCTCGCACCTGGAACCAGTGCGGCAGCTGATGCGCAAACCAGGCGAGCGGTGTTGGGATGCACTGGCTCTCGTAATGGACATCCATCGCCGTCAGCCCCCACCATGTCGGGCACTGACTGCACACATGTGCACGCGTGTGGTGCGGGTGTGAGTACGAAACAGAGCAACGTTACTTTTCATCCGCATATCCATCATGATTGCACACGTGCACACTCTTCGCACGTACACACTCTTCGCACACACACACACACTCTCTCTCTCTCTCTTCGCACATACACACACACACTCTCTCTCTCTCTTCGCACGTACACACACACACATGTGCACGCACTTGTGCACCTTGTGAGCTTGACAATGCCGCTGAGGAACATGAGGCGAAAGAAGAGCCAGCGCACAAGCGACAGCATCAGGTCTACGTCACGTGTGTTTGTTTGCATGTATGCACACAAGCAGACAAGGAAGTAAGCAAGCTTACATTGTATGCCATTATTGTTATTGCTGGTGAAAGCATTGTTGTGGGTTCGTAACAGCGCAATGATGTCTTGGCAACAGTCAGTCATGTTGGCTGCACAGTGATATGCCCATGCTGCAGCCTGCCTTACCTCCACCAGGGTGATATTGGTTGCGAACGCACACGAGCGGTGCTGTTGCTGCAGCTAAGAAGCCAACTTCCAGCAACAGAATGTCCCACTGCCAACAGCGCATGACCAGCGGAAGCGAGGCTGAGATGACGAAGGAGGATGCTCAGGCGTGCTCACTCTCTCGCACACGCGCGCGCGTGCGCTTGCAGCAGTAAAACACGCAAGTGCACACACACACGCGCGCGCGCACTTGCAGAAGTAAACATACATGTGCACACACACACACATACACACACATACACACACACATACACACACACATACACACACGCACGCACACACGCACGCACACACGCACGCACACACGTACGCACGCACTTGGAAGTAGAGGAAGGTGTTGCCGACTTGGTACAGGGAAAAGTAGCAGAACCATAGTACGGCATAGACGGGAAGGCACCGGCACCGCCTACGCGCGCAAAGCATCACTGAGCGTTGAATGCACAGCCTTGCACAGACCTTGCACAGGAAGCAGGGGACACGAGCGAAGCGCCACAGCATGCACACAAACAACGCATGCACCGTTACACACATGCACACATGCACGCAGACACATACACACAGCTACACACATGCATATGTATGCAACCGACCAGTAGATGACAGAGACGAAGGACAGAAAGGCGCCGAGCAAGGCAACAGCGTCCATGATGGTGTCCACATGTTCATGAAGCGGCTGATATAGCCACAGTGCCTACAATTGTACGAAGCACAAGCAACCGTACATGGGGTAAGCGAGCAGTGAATGCATGGTGAGTTGGAGAGCCTGTTGAGTGTTCTGCAGTTGCACATGTATTGTGATCGTGGGCGTCTGTGTACCGTCGGGTGTGCCTTGAAGTTCTCCAGCCAGTTGTCCTCGCTCACAGCCGCCTTCTCCAGCTGCGCCTGAGCAGGGACGAGACCAGTCGCCCCATACAAGCCCTGTCATCGCACGGCAGCGGGACGTGGGACGCGCGAGCGATGCGTTGGAGTTACATAACATCAGTGACAGCAGTGACAGCGTGAGCAGAGGGTGCGATTGCACACGTACGCGCAGAGGGCGCGAGTGTAAACGTACACGCAGAGGCACTCACTCACCCACATGTACACTCACATGTACACTCACTCACTCACTCACTCACTCACTCACTCACTCACTCACTCACTCACTCACACAACACTGACCGGAAGCTGCAGGTAGATGGAGACGAAGGCGGCTGCGTAGACGGCGCTGATGCCCATGAGGAAGGCGTGCCGCACGGCACCCTGTGACTTGCGTGCACCACAGCCTGAACAACAAGTCATTCCCACAGTCCTGTCGCTTGTTGATTCAGTGAACGGAAATCACCACAAGAAGGACTGAACAAGATGAGCGGTGGTCGTGCTGGAGGGTGAGTTGGTGTGTGTGTGTGTGTGTGTGTGTGTGTGTGTGTGTGTGTGTGTGTGTGTGTGTGTGTGTGTGTGTGTGTGTGTGTCTGTGTGTGTGTGTGTGTGTCTGTGTGTGTGCGTGTCCCTCTCTCTCCCTCTCTCTCCCCTCATTCAAGATGATGGACTTGCTTGCTTGCACGCGCGCGTGCCTCATCCACAACATGCGCTGCGATGTGACATGCGATTGTGACAGCATCGTGCTCGGCTATGCGGGCTTCCTCTTCGTCATGGGTTTCCTCGGCTTTGCCATGGGTAACTTCCAGTCCAAGGTGGGCACGCGTGCGTATGTGTGTGTGTGTGTGTGTGTGTGTGTGTGTATGTATGTGTGTGTGTGTGTGTCTCTGTCTGCCTGTGTCTGTTTGTGTGTGTGTCTGCCTGCCTGCCTGTCTGGCTGGCTGGCTGGCTGGCTGGCTGGCTCTGTGTGTCTGTATGTCTGTCTGTGTGTGCGTGTGTGTTTGTGTGCCTGTGTCTGTGTGTGTGTGTGTGTGGAAGGCTTGTGCACCAACCTGCATTGACGTGAAAGCCGCCTCCACTACCCCCTTCCGTCCGCAAACACCCAGGCCAAGTCCGCCATCATCGTCGGCTCGGCGTGCTCGCTGCTGCAGGTCATCGCATACTTCCTTCACATCTCCTCGTCCATGGTATGTCATCAGCTGTGCACCTTCCATGCGCTTCGTACGTGCTTGCTAGCGACCCTTCTTCTCGGTAACTGCATCAACTCCACTCACAGCCCCGCCCTGCCTTGCCGGCTTCTCCCCTTTGCTCTCTCGACTTTAGTCTGGTGCCGGACTGATGATTGCAAAGGCGTTCATGACGGTCAACACGGCCCTGTTTGCGTGGAGGGCGTACTTGGCGTGGCAGTCGCCGGAGAAGCAGCACGTGGCCATCCTGGTCGCCGTCATGGCACTTGGGTCCCTTGCAGCACTGACAGTCCTTGCACTCACCCCATCAGCGCCCAAGCGCCACGAGGCACAGAAGACCAAGTGACGAAGTATTGTGTTGTGCTGTGTTGCGTGTATGTGTGTGGGGGGGGAGTTGTTGTGTTGTGTTGTGGTGTTCGGTTGCTTTATGTGTGGGTGTGTTGTGTTTCGTTGCGTCTTTCGCTGCGTCTCTCGCTGCGTCGTTCGCTGCTGTTGTCTCTGTTATGGCACGTTCATTTTACCTCGTACATCTCTCCTTGTCGTACATGTGAACAACAAATCATACAAGACATGAACAACCATGAAAGAGCACTCGGGCCCACCAAACGGCTTCGCATCGTCACTGCACACACACACACGTGCGCGCGCACGGTCGTGTCAACGCCACCAATAGCTGACGGAGAGGCTCTCTGTGAGGGAGCGCACGTGGTGCCAGTACTTTGGCGGGATGTACAGTATTTCCCCTGCCCGCAGCACGCAGCGCTGTGACCAACAAACAAAGTGTGCAATGCACAGGACAGCTGTCAGTATCACATGCACTTCATCAGTGGCAAGTGCATAGGAAAGCGGAAAGAAGTGAGCGGGAGGACGAATGCACGAAGGGATCCAGATCCATGCCACAGACACACACATACACGTACACACACACGTACACACTCACACACACACACACACTCACACACACATGCATGCATGCATACCTTTGGCACCGCGGCCGCGAATTGGGGAAAGCGGGCGAGGTCTGGGGCTTCAATGTCGACCCGACTGGAGTTGGTGTGCATGCCTTCCTCGTGCGGATACAACAGCGGTGTCTGATCCGTCGAGTACAGATGCAACCGCTTCGCGCCAATCACCTAAGGAGGAGGAGGAAGCAGGGGGGTTAAAACGCGATGTGTAACGACAGAGAGCGGTTGTTGCTTGGTGCTACTGTGGGTTGCAGCCAGCCACGCACACGAGCACATAAGCAAAAGTGCACATACAAAACACATGAGCTGTGACCAACGCAAACACAAACACAAACACAAACACAAACACAAACACAAACACAGACACAAACACAGACACAGACACAAACGCAAACACAAACACAAACACAAACATCCTGCACTCTGTGCACACACCTGGCAGAGGAGGTTGTGGTGTGGGTCCTGGTGTGCCGGTGAAACCGTACCGCGGGACCCAAGCCACGCATTCACTTGCACAAGTTCGCCCATATGGCAGTAGTCGGGCGTGACTACATACGCTGCCAGCTCCGGTATCTGCTCAAACAATGGATGCTGCGCCAGATACCCCGTCCGCTGTGACGACGGCGCGGTCGCAGTCGTCGTCGTCGTCGTCGTCGTCGTCGTCGTCGTCGTCGTCGTCGTCGTCGTGGCTGCAGCTGTGGTTGCAGTTGCAGTTGTGGTCGTTGCAGTTGTGGTCGTGTCATCATGCTTCTCCGCATCAGCGGCGGTAACACTGCCATCGCCACCATCACCGTCACTGCCATTACCGTTGTGTTGCCCACACGAGTCTGTGTCCACGTACGCCATGACAAATTCCCGGAGCGTCATCATACGCTGTGACCATTCCTCATGCAAGTATGTCGAGCCAACCTCAACCGGCACAAGCCGCTCCCCAGCTACAGGCTTCATAAGCGCATGTGTGTGTATGTGTGTGTGTGTGTGTGTGTGTGTGTGTGTGTGCGTGTGTGCGTGTATGTGTGTGTGAAAGGGACGAGCGGTAGCACAATCGCATCATCACGCGTACAAAAGCGTGTTTGCACACAATACGCGATCTTGCTATATGCGCAGACCTACCAGCAAGTCGTCGAGACAGTGCCAGCGCTTCGTGGCCGGCCAGTGGTCCATGGCACCCGTGATGATGACAGGCTCGCCCGCGTCCATGATGCGCTGAAAGGCGGTCAATGAGGGAAGCGCAACGCGCGGTACCTCGCAAAACGCATCTTCCACCCGACTGACACCTGCACGACATTCGTCACGGAGAAACCCCAATCAAGCAATCAATCAATCAATCAATCAATCAATCAATCAATCAATCAATCAATCAATCAATCAATCAATCAATCAATCAATCAATCAATCAATCAATCAATCAATCAATCAACCAATCAACCAATCAATGGATCAACGAGGGAAGAACACAACTGGGTGTGGACAAGGAGGAACGCCAGCAGGATCTCTGTTTGCATGTCTACCAGTGTTGTCGATGCGACAAGCTTTTGTCCCTTTTCCATTCCCCTTCCCCCCCCCCCACACACACACACACACTTCTTGCCTCCACAAGTCGCTTCCACTCACTGCGTGGGCTGCTGCGTTGTGTGAATGGGCTGAGCTGCTCCATCAAGGCCGCGTGCGTCACACGTGCTAGACGAAACAGATCCCAGCGTTGTTGTTGCTGTCCTGCTAGCTGCAGCGCGCTGCCCATCATGATCCCCTTGTCCATCATATGCAGGGCCTTGCGCAGACCCCCAATATCCTCCGTGCGCACGCGCAGTCCACCCGCCAGCAGCGATTTGTGGCGCTTGGTGGCGAGGTCACCGCTGTCCTTCGTCCGATCGAGAGCCGCCCTTGTGTCGCTTCCCGACGGCACTGCATCCGCCCGTGCTTCTCTTTCTTCGTCTCCTCCTTGGCCTGGTAAGCTTTGGTTGTGCTGGTGTGCTTTGCCGTTGGTTGTGCACAGCAGCGTCAGGAGCGCCAACAGGTGCGAGCAAACGTGGTACAACTCGCGCCACTGAATCGGCACATCCTTCCAGTGCCACTCGTAGAGCTTCTCGTGGGCCAAGTCAACCAGTTCTCTGGCACGCCTCATCGCCGTGCTCAACGCTTTGTCGCTACTCTGAAGCTCCTCACTGTTGGTGTCTCGAGGCCCGTCGCCCACGGCACCACCACAATGGTCGTCATTTTCGTCACCACGAATACCACCAACACCAGCATCGGCATCACCACCGTCAACATCGCCACCATCACCAGCATCAGCAGCAGCATCGTTATCGTCCCCATGGTCATTGTTGCCTTGCTTTGCATGGCCGCCAACGACCCAGCAAACTGCGGCGTGCAAACCGTCGAGGCGACTCAAGCACCACTGGCCATGCACCTCCAAAGCACGGCGCTCAAGCACCGCTTTCATGGATGGAAACACGCCCAGCTGCGCCTCCACCACGACGCACAAGTCCAACCCAGCACCACCACCGCCACCACCACCACTGCTGCTGCCGCGAGCGTCCATCATCGTCGTCATCACCGTCCTGCCACTGCCGAAATTTCACAGATATTTTCAACAAATCTTCCCGACTTGCGCCAAAGAACACAACCACAAACAACAAACAACCACAGCACCAACCGACCGACTGGAAACAAACCATGGACCGAACGGTGGACTTTGATGGGCTGGCTCGCAGGGCGAAGCAAGGCGCGCGCGGGCCAGGAGCTCAGCAGGAAACATCGGACAGAAGTACTATTGACCGCCCAAGCAAAAGCGCACACGCGTTGCACTCTGCCTTTGTCGTGGAAGAAGACAGGCTGGCGACGCTGCTGCAGGAGCTGCTGCAAGTGCTGAACAAACCGCATGCCATCGTTGCCGCCTCCTACCCTGTTCCAACAACGTCGACTGGACTACATGAAGACGACGAAGGTGTCGCCGCTCAAGGCATCGCTACCGCCACAACTGGTTCAGCACATGTGCGGGGCATCCACGAGCAGCACGGGCTGCGGCATCGCCACGCAGGCAACGCACCCGCGACACAAACCCATCACAACGCACCTGCGCGCGCATCTGTGCTGCCACAACGGCAGCAACACGGCCACGGCCACGACAGGGCACCCGCATCAGCACCACTTGAAGCACAAGCTCAAGCACACATGCAATGGACATGGTACGACCCGTTCACCACGGCCAAAGCCTTGCAGGAGGCGCAAGCTGATGTGGAGCGTGTCAGCCAGGTCCTGCAGAAGCTGCAGCAGCAGTTGGACGGTGTGAAGCCGGATCTGAACGGCGGCATGCAGGCCTTCCACTCCAACACGCTGAAAGAGCTCAAGGCACGCTGCGTGCTCGCCCTGGACCTGTGTCACCAGCGAGCGGCGCTGAGATGGCGCCATGAGGCCATGCGCACGTGCACAACCGCAGATGCAAGGCAGCTGTACCTCAACCTCCCGCGCTTGGCAACACGGTCGCAGGGGTTTGCCATGGGTCTGAAGCGGAAGCAGGCTCGCCGCAGAGCAAGACGGAGCCCCGAAGGAAACCGTTCGCAGGCGGGCGCTGTGGCTGAGGCGGGTGTTGAGGAGGAACAGCACAACCGGGATGGTGTTGATCGCCGTCATGGTGCTGCAACAACTACCACAGGCGCAAGCGCGACAGAACCGGGACTGACAGAGCCGGCAGCCGAAGCGAGCAACGCACGGCCAGAAAAGGATCCACTGAGCATGCCCAACTCCTCCAGCACAAGTTCCTCCACCAACACTCGCCGCAACAGAGGAGCAAGGCAATTACTTGGTGAACAGCAGCACAACAGGGCTGGTCGTAGCATGGATGGTGGCAATCAGGCCCAGGGTGGTGGTGTTGGCGGTAGTAGCGACGATGCGTTTGACCTTGGGAGTATGCTAGCGGAGGTGCCAGAGGCGTGCACGCAAGCGCTGAAGCAAGAGCATGCGCAGCTGCAGAACACGTGCCACGACATGCTGCGAGACATTGGCGCTATGCACGCGCAGGTGGGGGAGATCAGCAAGCTGCAGCAGCGCTTCTCGCAGCTTGTGGACACGCAGCAACAGACCATCACCCACATCACGGAGGCCACTGTGTCCACGCTGGGCAATGTGAGTGCAGGCAACCGTGAGCTGAAGGAGGCGAGCAGACACAACCGCGACTTTCGTCTGGTCATTATTGTCTTCTTTGCTGTGCTCACTCTTGCTCTGCTGTGCCTTGACTGGCTACACGCATGATTTTGTGTGTGTGCGTGCGTGCGTGTTTATGTGTGTGTGTGTGTGTGTGTGTGTGTGTGTGTGTGTGTGTGTGTGTGTGGAAAAGGTACGTGTCCATCTTTGCACCTGTCTGTCTTTCTGTCTGTTTGCCTGTTTGTCCTCACTTCTGTCCTTTCTGTCCTTTCTGCTTGTCTGTCTACTTGTTTGGCGCGAGCTTTGCTTGTGCTCTTCTTACACGCAGCGCCGTTTGTTTGGCTTTGTGTTTTCTTTGCATTCAATCGTCGTCCGTCACTCAGTTGCATAAAACGCACACGACGCACGCCATGCACATGTGCATCACTCGTGCTGCAGCCATCACACATGATGTGCATGCTTGCCCCCACACAGCGTCGACAGTGGCACCACACCACAACCATGCAACCATGCAACCACGAAACCAAGCAATCATGTGCATCATGTGCATCATGTGCCACACATCAGTCTGGTTAGCTGTTTATGGATCGTAGATGGCGTGTGCGATGCCAAGCAGCGTAAAGTGGAACAGAACAGCCGTCGTCACAACAACAAACAGCACGCCCTGCACGAAGATGAGCGTTGATAGCCAAGTGCGCGTCCCAATACAACTCCTGGTGCTGCTGTTGTTGTTGTTGTTGTTGGTGGTGGTGGTGGTAGTGGTGGCGCTGGTACCTGCTTGCTGTCTTCTGCGTGCGCGTGTCGCTGCAATGTGGGCAAGGGGTGCCTCCACTAACACAAACACGCCGTGCACCAGGAAAAACAGGTGCATGATCGCAGAGTGCTTCAACGGCGCTGTGTGTGTGTGTGTGTGTGTGTGTGTGTGTGTGTGTGTGTGTGTGTGTGTGTGTGTGTGTGTGTGTGTGTGTGTGCGGAGGTGGAGGTGGAGGCAACATCGGTGGTGAGTTGAGGGGTGGGTGAAGATTCGATTCCCAAGCATCACACACGAGACAGCGCAGATGCCATGGACAAGAAGCCACAATCGCAGCAGTTTCTACCTGAGAGGGCCATTGGTGCCGCATGCACCACACCCGACATGAAGAATGTCAGCAGCACAGCCGGTACGAGCGTAACAGGCTTGCCCTGGAGATGAAATGGGTTTTGAGCACGCGCGTGGTTGTTATGTGTTCGTGGGTTAACGAAACGTTTCACAATGCATCGCGTCCATCTCACGGTCGGCGCAAGCGAAATCTTGCAACTCGCACAACACACACACGCACGCACACACACACACACACACGTACACACACACGTACACGTACACACACACACACACACACACATACACACACACACACACACACGCACCTCTGTGTAGACTGCGAGGAAGAAAGCGTTCTTGAGGATGGGCTGCACAGCGCGGTTCCAGCGCCGCCCCCAAAAGTCGGCCACTGTCGACGCCGCAAACAACTGCACGTGGTGTCCGTCCAATTGACGAGCATGAGATTGAAGGTGGAGTGTTAGTCACAATGAGCATGACAAGGGAGCACACACACACACACACATACACACACACACACCCCACACACACACCAAACACACCACACACACACACCAAACACACACACACGCACACACACACACACATACACACACCACAGGTCACACACCACATGTCTCACTCACGTCCCCGAGGAGTGCGTGTGCAGTGTAGCCGAAAGCCGCATGGGCAATGGTGTTACCAATCTCAAACACTTTGAAGGTGGTGACAAACCACTCAATGGCGGCAACGACCTCAACCACCATGAGCAGCGAGAGCCCCGTGGCCATGCAGGATGGCAGCGCGGCTTGGAGCGCAGGCGAGGCGGCGAGGAGGCCGTCTGCTGCCTCCACAATGGCGCTCGCTGTTGCTGACAACGGTGGCACGGTATTGGAAGATGTGTTTCTGTCGAGGTGGTGACAGGGAGCGTGCGTCTGGCAGATGGAATCGTGGGCAAAGGGCAGCGCCATCACGGTTTGGCCCAAGGGACTGCAGCACGCTGCGTGTGTGTAATTCGAGGCCATGCTAGGCAGGAGATACCACGTGATTATCGCCCATGGTAGGATGTGGACGCTGGCCCACAGCCGCTGCTGCACATATGCTCTCCGCTCTTCCCGTGATAAGCTCTTCAGTCGCTTGCGCACCGTCAGGTCCACAAACCCTGTGTTGGTGTTGTGAATATCGGTCGGTGGGTTACAAGGGCATCGAGGTCACTGATGCGAATTGGAGCATGCGCACTGACAGGCGCCAGGCCCATTGTGTCCGTGAACGCGTTCATCTGCACCCCCCGACACACATGCACACACATGCATACACACACACATGCACACACACACACATACACACACACTTGCACACACACACACACATACACACACACTTGCACACACACACACACACACACACACACACACATGCACACACACACATGCACACACGTACCAACGAGGTGTTGGGCGATGAGCAAGTCCGACTCCAACAACGGCTGGTAGCGCGCCGCCTTCCTTGAGAGCTGTCGCTGTGATGCCGCCTGCACGCCGTTGCATGCGGTGGTGGTGGTGTGCTTGGTGCTCTGTTGCCAGGCCTCGTATTCTGGGCGATGCATGCGTAGGACGCGGTCGAGCCCGTGTATGCTGTACAGGTAGGCGAGCCCCCACGCCACGAGCACGGTGCGCATGGGGTTGGTGGATGGCACCAGCACAAACGGCGCCATCACCGCCAACACCCCACACAGGTGGGCCGCCACCGACCGCCGCCGCCGCAGCTGCAGCCCAGCCGCAGCCGTGAGACTCGTGATGAGGCACACACCCGCCACCACCTCCACCCTTCCGCCTTCGTCCATGCTGAGAAGGTCGAGCCTGTTGTCACATGCGGTGTATGTGTCTCAAATGGTGGTTGTTGTGATGGGTGGTAGGGTGCAAGTTCGCGTGCGTGTGTTTGTCGTTCACGAACGTCACACACAGTAAACACATTTCGCGTGACGAGGCACTCCTACCTCGATATCTGTTGCTGATGTCTGAGATCTCTCTTGCTGTGCCTCATGTTACATTATTGATCCCTCCTCGTCTTCAGGCCTCCCTCTCGGATCTTCTTCGTCCAGCTAACACCAGAACACTCTGGTGTACTGCACGACAAACAGCATACGCATACGTTTATTGGCGGTCACAATCACAAGCAGTAATCAAAGTGCATCACATCACGCTCTCCCTCACCTCGCCCCTTTGCACATCATCACCATCAGCGTATCAGCGTCTATGTATCTCAATGCTGCCTTTGCTGCTGGCTGGCTTGCGCACTGTTCTGCTTCTGTGGTGGACTGGGTAAGGAGCGACGAGGCCGGCGCTGTTGCGAGGAGTGCGGGGACTGCTGGGACTGCTGCCGATCTGGGTGCTGCTCCTGGTGTACCGCAGGACGCTGTACCGCATCATCTGCCTGCAGCGAAGGTGCAGAGGTGCCCAGACCGTCTCCTGCTTGCGCTGGCTTTTGCTGTCGGCCCTCCCAAACGTCACCCTCACCCGCTGCCACGCTGTCCTGTTGTATTTGTCCCGCTGCAAGCTGTTGCCCACGCGTGCTCAACGGTTTTTGTGTGCTTTGTGGCACGTCGCCTTTGGTTCCTCCCTCGCACTGCGACCCATGACCAGGATGACGCTTCGCCCCTTCCTGCTCCTGCTGTTGTTGCTGCTGTTGTTGTTGCTGCTGCTGCTTGCACCCCTGCTGCTTGCACCCCTGCTGCTCCTGTTGCTCGCTCTCGTCAGCCCAGGCCATGATGCCCTTTGTGCCTGGTGCGCGCGGGCCGCTGCTTGGTGGCGGCGCTGGCAAGCGACGGTGCCCAGACCCTACACGATAGACAACCATCAGCGTGGGTTGTTGGGAGAGGGGATGAGGAGAGAGTACGTGCGGATGCGGGGTCACTGCAGAAGCAACGCGACAGCGGCAATCACGCGGGCGACAACAAAACCATCCAAACGATGGAAAGGGGGCGCACGAGAGAGCAAACTCATGTGAAACGAGTACCCAATTCGCACACAAGTCATGTCACCGCACCACTGCGCTCGCTGCGGGAAGGGTTGTCGCTGTAAGCGGTGTTGTTGTTGTACGCGGCCATCTGCCGCCCTTTGCCCGATGTGACTGCAGTCCTCATTCGATTTAGCTGTTGGATGGTGTATGCAGGGGGAGTAGGGATGAACAGCAGGTATGAGTTGAGTGTTTAATCTTACAACACATTGATGCGAAGCGAAGGAAGAGAAGGAGGAGCACTGGACACACAGGTTTGCACACAGGCTTGCACACAGGTTTGCACTCACTCACTCACTCGCTTGCTCACTCACTCACTCACTCACTCACTCACTCACTCACTCACTCACTCACTCACTCACTCACTCACTCAACTCACTCAACTCACTCACACACACACACACACACACACACACACACACACACACACACACGCACACACACACACGCACGCACGCGCATGCAAACACACCTCGAGGTTATTGATGTTGTCGACGTTGCGACCGACACGGCAGCACACGACAATGCATGCGATGATGGCGAGGAATAGCAGGCCGCCAATGACAGAGCCTAATCCACACAGGGCACAGGAGAGGCGTAGTGAGCAGCGTAGTGAGGACAAAGCGGGTGCCCACAGTGATGTGGCGCTGTGATGGCAGCAGAGATGGCGCATTTCCTGTACAGTCTTGTCACATTACCAATGGCTTCTTTGAAACGAGCCACTGGAAACACAGACATAGAGACATGGATCTCACACATTCACGCACATTCACGCAAGTACATTCACGCAAGCGCATGCATACATCCACACACATGCACACAGCACAGGCACACACAAATTTACAAACATTGACACATGCACACGCGTGTCTGACCCAATATTATGTACAGCGTGGACTTTGGGATGGCGTCCTGGCTTCCTTCTGGACTTGCAGTCGAGGTTGTGCCCATGCCCTCGCCTGAACACCCAAGACGCAAGACACGCATGAGAGAAAACACAGTGGGGTCACAGGAGGAAACTGTTGTTTATTATTATTTCGGCGCAGTCTACGCAAGCAAATCCCAGCAGCGCACAACCCAACGTACGCGTGATGGTGATAACGTTGTCTGGCCTGAGCGTGATGAGCGGCATTTGCCTGAACGACAGTAACGGTGACAGCAGCAACCACAAGTGTGAGTTCATGAACGAGCACATTAACATGCGTGCACATGCAAGAAGAAGGAGCCACAACAGCAACGACAGCATCGACAACTTGAACAACAGCAACGCATACATGCATGTGCATTCACACACACACACACACACAAACACAAACACTCGCACACACACACACGCACACACAGACACGTACGGCGATGAGGATGTTGTTGAGGAAGCATCGTCTTGGCAGTGGCACGATGGCACAAGCACAGCGAGCACGCACAAGCCAACCGCAGCAACAACCAGCCACGAGCGCGGCGCTCTTGCTGCCTTTATCGTCCTCATTGTTGCTGTAGTCGCTTGCTTGCTTGGCAGAGGCACGATTGAATGCACCCCCACCTGCTCCCCACCAGCACCACCTCAACTGCCACCAAACCACGCCACGCAAATCTGCCTGCAAGCACAGCGGGGGTCAGCGTTGTTGTTGTTGTTGGGTGCGACAAGGGAAACCAAAAAAAAAATTAACATAATGAGGCAGCACACAAAAAAATCGGACACCACCCACAACAACAACAACAACAAAACACAACGCACATGCAGAGATGGTGCTGCCTGCGGATGTGGATGGGTGGCTTGAGGCTGCGTGCGATGTGCTGGTGGAGTTCCAGCACATGCACCGCACCAACATGGTGAACGCACTGCAGGACGGCGTGTACGACTGCTTGCCGCAAGCATGGATCGACGCCCTTCAATCCCTCGCAGACATCGCCAGTCGAGACAGCAGCTGTGGTGGTGGTGATGGTGGTGATGGTGGTGAGGAAGAGGGGGACGACGCACGTGATGCACTGTCAATGCAACAACACGCACAGCAACAACAACAACACGCACAACAACACGCACAGCAACAACAGCACGCGCAGCAACAACGCAGGACAGTGTTCGATGCAGATGCGTGGTTGAGTGAGTTTGTGTGGAGGCGCGAGGTGTGGCAGAAACACGCACACAGCTTGCCACAGTATCTGCTCAGTTTCCTGCAACGCGTGCATGACCTCCATCTTGACAGAACCCCAAGCAGCACCATCGAAGCGTGCGCATTCCCACAATACTTGCGCCAGGTCAAGGGCTTCTCGCCAAAGAAGGAGCACGAGACCACAAGGCACGCGGCGCTGCTCCAGCACATCTGCACGCGCACGCGCGCCGAGATTGTCATTGACGTGGGCTCCGGCAGCGGATACCTGGGCCAGGTGCTGCTCAACACCAACCCCGGCTTGGTGGTGGTGGGCATCGAGGGCGACACGAGCGTGCACGAGCTCGCCCTCAAGAAGATGGCGCGCATGTTTCAACTCCAGCACCGGCGCCGTCACCGCAATCACAACAACACACGCAACAGCCAAACACGCAATAGCAAGGACAATGGGCGGAGCGCCGCTGGCCATAATAGCCACAGTGCCCATGAAACAACACCAATGTCAGCACATGTACAGCCACAGGCACCGGCCCCACTCACGCGTATGCTTGCTGTGGAAGGCATCTTCTCTGTTCACACGCCACGCGCCAACCTGGACGCTATCTCGACAGCGCTGGCATCCGGCGGCGCCCTTTTGCACGCAGACACACGTGCTGAACCACAGCATGGTGATGATTGTGGTGGTGGTCGTCGTGGTGGTGGTGAACATCGTAGTGGTGGTGGTGGTGGTGATGATGATGGCTGCACACAAACGCGTGATCCTGTAAAGGTGCCACAAACCACACCACAAGGTACCCCAACACGAGACGCAGTAGCACCATTATCCTCATCACGGTCAACAACAACGCCAACCACAACAACCACCACTGCAGCTGCGTGTGTGCTGACGTGCCTGCACGGGTGCGGAGACCTCACGCCCTGCCTGCTGCGTGCCTTTGTGGAGGATGAGCGGTGCCGCGGGCTGGTATCTGTTGGCTGCTGCTACCACGCAATCACGCCCGTCTCGGGTCGAGAGAAGGCATGGTACATCAAGCGCAGGAACATAGGACCAGCTTCGTCGTCGTCGTCCCCAACAGTGGCGCCATCGACCTCGCAGGACGCAAGTGCAACTACCGCAGCACCAACCACGGCACGCGTGCGCGGGGATGATGTGTCAAGCGAATCAACAGACACAACCGCAGCCAAAGCCGCAGATGCAATGGAGCAACAGCAAGGAGCGCTGCGAGTGAACACAGCGGTGGACGGAGCCGGCAGCCGCGCACCGCAGTTCTACTCCTTTCCCATGAGCGCGGCGTTGACGCGGACGCTGGCACTGCGCGGGTTCCACGTGCTGCCGTCGTACTCTCTCAGGCGGGCGGCACAGCATCGCAGGCAGCAAGCGGAGGTGAAAAGGCACAAGCCGCAGGAAATGCAGAGGGGTGGAGAGCAGGAAGAGAAGGCAGGTGCTGTCAAGGACGTCAGTGGGCGGTTTGGAGCAACATCCTTGCATGTTGCGTCAACACTCTATCGCAACGTGATGGAGGACACAAAACGGAAGCACCCAACCTGGACCATTGTGAACCCCACCGTCCACGTCGTCCTGTCAGTATTCAACTCACAGTATTGCTGCCTTTGTGTGTGTGTGTGTGTGTGTGTGTGTGTGTGTGTGTGTGTGTGTGTGTGTGTGTGTGTGTGCGTGCGTGCGTGTGTGTGTGTGTGATGTGTGTGTGTGTGTGTGTGCGTGCGTGTGTGTGTGTGTGTCTGTGTGTGTCTGTGTGTGTGTGTACATTGTCACAGTCGACGACTGCTTCTTACCAGCAGCATCGCTCCACCCAAACAAACACACATACACATGACAGAAAACGTGATTGTCGGAGCTTTGACGATTATCTTCGCGCTGTGCTCGGCAAAAGGTGTGTTCGCCATCGTCGTGTGTGTGTGTGTGTGTGTGTGTGCGTGCGTGTGTGCGCGTTTGCATAGATGTAATGGCACTAACGTCCTCCCCACACGCGTGCGTGCATACTGCCGCCATGTGTGTCATCGTGCAGCCGCCTCGTGTGCGCCGAAGAGGATGGTCACACGTTCCGTACCGCACAAGGTGTGTGTGTGTCTGTGTGTCTGTGTGTGTCTGTGTGTGTGTGTATGTACATGCGCGTATTCGAATGTTTGATGGCTCTGTTCTCTGCACGTGTGTGTCTGTGTCTGTGTGACTTTGCAGCGGACCTGCACCACCGGTTCGAGTGGGCGCACGAGTCGCTGCTTCCGCTCTTGGACGAGGTCTGTAATGCGTGTCTGTGTGTGTGTGTGTGTGTGTCTGTCTGTCTGTCTGTCTGTCTGTCTGTCTGTCTGTCTGTCTGTCTGTCTGTCTATCTGTGTTTGAAAATATGTGCGTCCGCATCATGGCATTCTATGCTTCAAGCTGTGTGACATCATGAAACCTCGCCTCACACCCTTGTGAATGGTTGCTGACAACAAACCCATCCAGCTTGTGCACACGTACGAAAGCGTCGCACACATCCGCTCGCGAATTGCCGTTTTCCTCGCCCTGCAGGTGTGTGGGTGGGGGTGCTTTGTGCCAGGACTATTGTGTGTACCCACTTGTATCACGCTTTCCTTGTTTCCCTTGCTCCCATCTCACCTCTAAGCTTGCAATTGTTTCGCCCTCACGCACACACACGCGCGCGCGCATGCATTTGTCACGTCTCCGCCGCTGCAGCCGCTGCTTGAGGCGTTGATTGAGGACGTGATTGTCGTGGACAGATGCCAGTTCATTGCCGAATCTGTGCCCACAGCAACAGTTGCTCTCGTTCCCCTCTTTGATCAGCACATCAGCCCACGCTGCTTTGCCATCGTTGCAACCAGATAGCACAATGTGTGTGTGTGTGTGTGTGTGTCTGTGTGTGTGTCTGTCTGTGTGTGTGTGTGTCTGTGTCTGTGTGTCTGTCTGTCTGTGTGTGTGTGTTTGTGTCTGTGTGTCCCTGTGTGCGTACGTATCTGTGTGTGTGTTTGTGTGAGTGTCTGTTGTTGCTACAGACTGGCCACACGGAGCATGCTAATGCGTGCATTTCATGGATGTGTATTGCTTTGCCACAACTTGATTTGTGATTCGGACGCAGTTGTCGTTAGATCAAGCATCACGGCACAATGAATGAAGCATCGTGGCGGAAGCACAACAGCATCGAAGAGCAGCGGTGTGACGGAAGGCGTGGACCAGCAAACAGCGGCACCACGCGGTAACAGAGACACACACGAAGAGGAGGACAACAGCGGCAGAATGTGTGCGTGTGTGTGTGTGTGTGTGTGTGTGTGTGTGTGTGTGTGTGTGTGTGTGTGTGTGTGTGTGTGTGTGTGTGTGTGTGTGTGTGCTCGTGCTCTTGTGTGTTCATGGGCAGAAGAGGGGAATGCCGTACCAGTCGTTTGGACGCAGGTAGTGGAAGTTGCGGTCAAGAGCCGCAATCTTCTGCATGTCCTCCTCATCCAACTCAAAACCCACAGACTCGATGTTCTGGTCACAGCGCAGTTGCGTGTTGTTGTTGGAAGTGAGGCCGGGCGAGGAGATGCAAGGGGAAGGGGCTTACACAGCACAGGCACAACGCGATAAGCCGTCGAGGAGTGCAGCACATTGGGCAAACACACACACACACACACACACACACACACACACACACACACACACCTGGCGGATGCGGTGGTCGTGCGTGGACTTTGGAATGACGACGGTCCCGCGCTGCACCGCCCAGCGAATGCACACCTGCACAGAAGGGGAGGTGGTGGTCGCGTTTGTGGTTGGTGGTGGTGGATGAGAAACAACGCAAAGTGGTGCAAACGCGCGCGCGCGCGCACACACACACACACACACACACACACACACACACACACACACACACACATCACGCACCTGGGCGGGGGTCTTGCCGTGCTTGGCAGCAATGGCGGCGAGGACGGGGTCCTGCAGGAGAACATCGCCGCCCGTCCAGCTGTGGTTGGAGCCTGTGCCCAGTGGCGAATACGCGGTCATGGCAATGCCGAGGCGCCTGGCGTACTCGCACAGCGCGGGCTGCTGGCAGTACGGGTGCATCTCGTTCTGGATCACGGCGGGCTTGATCTTGGCGTATGTCATGATGTCGTGGACAATGATGGCAGGGACGTTGCTCAGCCCAATATGCTTGACGAGGCCTGCCTCCACGCACGCCTCCATCGCCTCCCACGTCTCGCGGATGGAGACGCTGTGGTCGACCTTTGCTGCGCCCGGGTTGGCCGCCTGTGTCACCTCCTGCAGCTCGCTCAGGCCGTCTGGGTCATACGTCTCGTGGAAGCCGCGCTTCGTGCCGTCATAGGGCACGTACTTGAACGCCACGGGCCAGTGCATCAGCCACAGGTCTTGGGCGAGCAGGTGGTGAGGGTGGGGAAGGTGGAATTGGGGCAGGAAGGCCGTGTGGGAGGTGCAATGAGTGGGAGGCACAGGTAGGCACGAGCGGGGCACGAGGTGACCAGCGGGTGAGAGGGGAGAACACACGGACACACACGCGCAGGCATACACGGACGTGCGCGCGTACGTGGACACGCACAGGCATACACGTACGCACGCGCGTACGTGGACACACACAAACAAACACACACACAAACAAGCAAGCAAGCAAACTCACCGAGATGGTCGAGGCGGAGGTCGAGCAGCGTCTTCTTGAGGTGTGGCATGACGTGTTCCTTGTGGTGGTACGGGTTGTTCAGTTTGCCGGTGATCCACAGGTCTTCGCGCTTCACCGCGCCACTCTCAAACAGCTCCGCCAGCGCATCCCCAATCTCATCTGTGTTGCGGGTGACCCAGCGGGGCATGTGAAGCGGGGACACACCAGTGGGGAGGGGGGTCATGAGTACGAATGACTGTATGAAAGGGGGGTCAGTGTCGCAGAAGAAAGGAATAGAAACAGAGTTGCGTCGGGAGTGTCGCACAACACACACGCACATACACACACATGTACACACATACACGCACACACATACACACACATGTACACACATACACACACGCACACACATACACACATTCACGCACATATACACACACACAAGCAGTCACAGCAAGATCGACCTTCGTTGAGGTAGTTGCTGGCGCAGTCGAGGTGCCTGTATCCGCACTCGGTCACAGCATATTTGACAGCAGCGCCAACCTTGCCCTTCTCGGCCTTCCAGGTGCCTAGCCCAACCTGCACATGATTGCCGTCGATAAATTATACAGTACACGACAACAACACGACAACGACAGGATGGATGGCGTGGTCAGAGAAAGTGTGGTGCTGCAGTGCGTCGTCACATGTCGCATTCCTCTCGTGCAGTGAGGAAGGGCTGTGGTGTCACCCACCAGCGCACCTGAGGAAAGGATGCACCAGAGTGCAGCTTGATGACAGGCACAGCGCTCATTGTTTGTTGCAGTGTTCTGGCTTGTTTGTGTTTGGGGAAAACTTGTGGAAATCTCACGCAATTCTCCGCGCCTTCCAAGCACCTGAAACCATTTCACGCTGCTTGCGTCCACTGACTTGTGTCCTGACGTGGAGAGCAAGCCAGCAGAAGAGCAGAAGGAGCAGAACCATGGCCGACGGCAATGATGAGCACCGCCTGACGGACGGCGTGTCTGTGGAGGCGGTCAAGACCTTCCTCGCAGACCTGACGAAGGAGTTCCCCGACACTTACACCGAAATGACCACGGAGGATGCCTGCAAGCAGCTCGTGGTGCCACGCACACGCCAGGACAACTGCGCCTACGTCGACCTCTTGCGCAAGCAGTCATCACATGAACACGTGAACAAGGCCACTGTGTTTGTGTCGCACGCGTGGCGATACAAGATCGCAGACGTGCTCAACGTGCTGCTGGAGTTTGCAGAGGAGCAAAGAGCAAGCAAGGAAGACGGCCAGCCCGTGTTCTTCTGGTTTGACCTCTTCATGAACAACCAAAACGCCAATGTCACCGCCAACCTCCCACAAGAGTGGTACGTCTATGTGTGTGTGTGTGTGTGTATGTGTGTATGTGTGTGTGTGTGTGTGCGTGTGTGTGTGTGTGTGTATGTGTGTGTGTGTGTGTGTGTGTGTGTGCGTGCGTGTGTGTGTGTGCAGCTGTGTGTGGTTTGGTAGTGCAATGTTTCTTGCACACGCCCTCACACGCACTCTCCTCTCACACGCCCTCTCCTCTCCTCTTCCCCCCCCCACCACACAACAGGTGGAGCACGACGTTCAAGGAGTCGATTGCCAACATTGGGCGCGTGCTGTTGGTGTTGATGCCGTGGCGTGACCCCGTTCCACTGACGCGCGCGTGGTGCCTGTGGGAAATCTTCTGCGGCATCAGCAACGAGGGCACAGAGGTCACCATCCGCCTGCCCAACAGCGAGGAGAAGGCGCTGGAAGAGGCCATCCGCGGCGACTTTGAGGCAGTGACCGACACGCTGGTGCGCGTGCAGGCAGAGCGGGCAGAGGCCTTCAACCCGCGCGACAAGGACATGATCTTCGAGGCCATCCAGCACGGGGTTGGCTTTGCGGCTCTCAACCAGGCTGTGAAGGACCAGCTGCGCGCGTGGTGCCTGGAGAAGGCGGTAGCTGCGGTGGAGGCCATGCGAGCACAGGGTGAAGATGAGACAGAGGCCTTCGCGGGGTTGTGTCTCAACGTTGGGCTGGTGCTGAAGGAGTATGGCGAGCACGATGGCGCAATCACGTGCTTCAAGGCAGCCCTGCCGATTTTCCTGCGAACCGAAGGGGAGAAGGGAGAGAACGTGGCGGGGTTGTACCACAACCTCGGCATCGCGTACCACAGCAAGGGCGACTACGACAGGGCCATTGAGCTGTATGAGAAGGCCCTCACCGTCTTCGTGGAGACGCTGGGTGAGAAGCACCCGAGTACAGCCACGTCGTACCTCGGCCTTGGCAATGCATACGACAGCAAAGGCGAGCACGACAGGGCGATTGCATGTTTCGAGAAGGCCCTCGGCATCCAGGTCGAGACATTGGGTGAGAAGCACCCGAGCATAGCGGATTCGTACCTGGGCCTTGGCATCGCCTATCGCAGCAAAGGCGACTTCGACAAGGCCATCCACTTCTACGAGAAGGCCCTTGCCATCAAGGTAGAGGCGCTGGGTAAGAAGCACCCGAGTACAGCCACGTCGTGCAACAACCTTGGTGAAGCATGCTACAGCAAGGGCGACTACGACAGGGCGATTGCATGTTACGAGAAGGCCCTCGCCATCCAGGTCGAGACATTGGGTGAGAAGCACCCGGCAACAGCGGTAACGCTCGTCAACATTGGCCGGGTGCACAACCAAACGGGTGGCAACGAGCGGGCCTGCGCTTACATGCAACAGGCGCTCGCCATCGAGGTGGAGGCGTTGGGCGAGAAGCACCCAAGCACAGCAAACACTTGCATCAATCTCGGCTTTGTCTACGCCAGCAAGGGCGAGTACGACAAGGCCATCCGCTACTACGAGAAGGCGCTCGCCATCCGGGTGGAGACGTTGGGCGAGAAGCACCCGACCACAGCCACGTCGTACTTCACTCTCGGCCTGCTGCACGACGAGCGTGGCAACAAGGAGCGGGCCTGCGCTTGCATCCAACACGCGCTCGACGTTCGCACAGCCATCCTCGGGCCAGACCACCCCAGCACACGCAAGGCGGAGCGCGAACTGCAGCGCATTCGCGGCGGTGATTCCAAGACAAAACAGGACTGGGTACTGTTTGCAGTCTGCTGCCCGTGCATCCTTGCGGCTGCGCCATTTTTCTGCATGTACCACTGCGCAAAGCAGGTGTGTACGAAATGAGTTGACAAGTTCCTCAGTTCCTTCCTTCCTCCCTCCCTCCCTTATGTTACAATGTTGTTCATGTCCGCAGATCTATGCGTCTTGTGTTTGTCTTCCTTTCCCACTGATTACAGCGTCATGCACACGCACAGCCCGCCGTGAGAGTGCAAATGCAAACACATCGGTGCCTCGTTGAACATTCAGCAGCTCATGGTGCTGCAGCGTGTCCGTGTGTGTGTGTGTGTGTGTGTGTGTGTGTGTGTGTGTCCGTGTGCATGTGTGTGTGATGTGAAATGATGCACGTGTGCTGTGGGCTCCTTCATTGTTCGCTGACTTGCTTGATTGGAGGAGCGTTTACTGGGCGTGGATGCCGCAATGAGCAAGCTGAACGAGGCCATGCCATGCGCCATGCCATGTCATGTCAAGTGACAGCGCACGAGCAATGAAGGGGGGGGGGGGTTATGGGTGCTAGTCCGCAGAGGGGAGGGCCTGGCGGTATGTCGTTCGCGAGATGGACAGGGTCTTGTGCAGTCGTCGGTCGGGTACAGCTTCCACAGCACGTGCCTTTCAGTTTGCATGTCGTGCGTGTCCGTGATGGGTACGTGATGTGGTGAGGGCGAGGGCGTGGCCGAGGGTGGGGACGGCAGGTGTTATCATACACACACACACATACACACACACAGTCACACACACACACACACACACACACACACACACATCAGCGCCCAAACCTGGTGGAGGAGGGACTTGAGCTTCTGTGCGGCGAGGAGGAGCTTCTTGCGGTGGCCCGGCCGCGAAATGCCAAGGCAGTCCAAGTCATCCTGTGTCAGGTCGCACACCACGTCCAAATCGTCGTACCCTTTGGACATGAACATGTCCGCATACGCCTCCAGCCGCAGCGCGCTCAGCCACGCCCGCACCGCCTCTTGCAGTCGCAACTGCATATGTGTGTGTGTGGGTGTGTGTGGGTGTGTGTGGGAGCACAAAACATGCACGACAAAGCAACAATACGGCAGAAATACGAGCATGAAGAGCACGCTCCCTTCATGCAGCCCCCGTGCGCGCTTGCTTGTTTGCTTGTGTGGTCCATCTTACGTTGAGAAATGCGTACTTGACCTGCTGCCTCGGGGTGAGCTGCTGCTGCTCGTCTTCTTCTTCGTCGTTATCATCATCGGCCTCGCTCTCCGGCTCTGACGGGGTCCCGAAAGGTGTGTTTGAGTGAGTGAGTGAGTGTGTGAGTGAGTTTGAGTGTAGAGAGGGTGTGTGAGTGTTTGAGTGAGTTTGAGTGTGGAGAGTGTGTTAGTGAGTGAGTGAGTGAGTGAGTGAGTGAGTGAGTGAGTGAGTGAGTGAGTGAGTGAGTGAGTGAGTGACCATTTTGTTTCATTTGTTCGTTGGTTGTTGTTTTGCTTAAACTGTTTGTTGCTGTAGATCATAGCACATACTTACACACGGACAACCAGCACAGCAACTTCGCACCTGTGTCGCCACCGGGAGTTTCTTCGGCGTCGTTGCCTGCAGGGAAGCTCGCCTCACTCAGCGGCTTATCCTACACACGAAAAACACGCCAACATGCAAAATCAACGGGAGGGAGCAGAGGGTGAAAGGATGCCAAAACACGATCACAAGCATGCACACAACATACACACACACACACACACACACCACAAAACCAGACAGAGCATACACGCACCCTGCGTTTGCTGCGCTTGTGTGGATGCGGATCAATGGCACCCAGTGCATGTGTGATGTGGTCATGGTGGTCGTGCGCGGTGCGCTTCTCACCCCGACCGCCCTGATCGCCACCAGCTGTTGCTGTTGCTGCTGCATGTGTGTGTCCGTGTCCGGGTGCGTGCGTGTGTACGGCTGAGGGCGCCTGGTTCCGCGCAGCGCTCGATGACAACACGGCCGCCGCCGCCGACGACGACGACGATGGTGGCGGCGACGACGACGACGCCACAGTGGCGTCCAGCCCTTCCACAAGGTGGTGCAGGATGGCGTAGTGGGTGCGCCCTTGCACCAGCAGCGTGTGGATCTTGTTGTCGTCCTGCATCGACACTGTCGGCTCTGTCGGCGGCTTCTTCTGAGGGGTTGTATTGTGTGGCGTTGTATTGTGTGGCGTTGTATTGTGTGGCGTTGTATTGTGTGGCGTTGTGTGGTGTGGCGTTGTTGTTGGTGGTGCAATCACGAACAAACACAACTCCAAATGGCCATAAAGCTGTGCCCACAAACGCACACACACACACAACACACACAACACACAACACACACACACACAAATACACACAACACGCACACACGCACACACACACACACGCACCTTTTTCCTGCCGCGCTTCTTGCCAATGTCGCCCCTGAGCCGCTTCTCGGCAGCGCCACGATCACGACCGGGGCACGCGCACACGCGCGTGTCGATGCTGTCGCAGCCAAGGATGCGGCTGCTGTGCTCGAGGGAGACAGTGACCTCAAAGGGGCGCCGGTTCAGCCCGCCCGGGCACGACGAGAAGCACAGCAGCTCAATGTAGAACACATGCGTGCCTGCAGGCAACGACAGCGTGTGAGGAGCAGTGAGAACAACAGCACGTGCCAACGACAACTGCGATGAGGCAAAACGCAGTCATAACGACCAACCCACAACCAACAACCAACCAACAACTCACGCCTGGGCACAACCAACCCCAACACACCATTCTGTGCAGCGCATCTGTCAAAGGGGATGCGGATGGAATAGTGGCCCGTGGCGTCCTTCTCGTACACGGCCTCGGGCATGTCGCACCGTACCAGGTGGTACGCGTGCATGCCATCGGCCCCTGTGCAGAAGTGTGCGCGCGCGCGCGTGTGTGTGTGTGTGTGTGTGTGTGTGTGTGTGTGTGTGTGTGTGTGTGTGTGTGTGTGTGTGTGTGTGTGTGCGTGTAATGTGTATCTGTTTGATATTCTAACTTCCAAAAAGCAAGGATCTACTGACGGTGGGTAACAAGGGTAGTGACCTCCATATCCTAGGTATTATTA